CCTCTCTTAACCTCTTAGCTGGCATAGCAAAAGGGGAAGAGAACTCTGGATAATCAAGGTTGCATCCTGGACTACAGAGCTAAACCATGGCCATAACTAGTAATCTTTGGATTTCTGCTGTGGGAACTTACCAGCTGAGGTGTATGTTCCAGGATGGAAATCCTTGGGTGAGGCTGGACACAGCAGTTGAGCTGAAGTCTCACCATGGAAGAGGAGCCATGAATGTGGCTACAGATTTGGCTGCCTACCCTGGGCCAGTGAATAGGGGAGCGGCCAGGATTTGGGGAAGAAAACACAACATGAAACAGGCGCAGCAGTTCTGGAGAAAGAGTGAATCTCTGGGTCTAGTTAGGCACAGTGTCAGTGTGACTGCACCGGAGTCTCTGGGTCTGGGTAGGCACGGTGTCAGTGTGACCGTATTGTAGCCGAAGAGTCAGATGTAGCGCGTCTCTGCCGTGCGCCAATGACTCTGGCTTCTGCAGAGGGCACTACTCACCACATCTCCTCGCTCACGTTCTTATCCCCAGGCTTACTGAAGTCATGGTCTCATGATTCCTAGAAACAAAGTCGGTTTCTTGTCTTGAGAGTCTGTAGAAAATAAATGGCCAAACTGGGGATGATCTATGGCCCTCTAAAGCCTCATCCTGTCCACTCAGTTAGGCTTCCCTCCAATGAAGGAGTGTCCCCGGCAGGAAATACCTACAGTGACAGACTGTGCTGCCGGCGTTTCCCTTCAGCAAGCACACACTGACCCTTTGGCCTCTTAGATTCAGTTGTAAACCAGTGTCTTTAAATTCCTGCAGATTTTGGGTTCTGCCAACATTATTTAGCTGTTTTTAAAAGAAAAAAGCGTGATCTCCATCCCCATGTCTTCTACTCAAATGGACCCCAGAAGATGCCATATGTCTACTTCATGGTTTAGTCACCCTTGAGCTGGGCTGTGTGCGGAGCTTGAGGATGTGGCCCAGCACAGATGGAAATTTAAGCTCGCTAGAGAGTCGGATAGGACACAGACACTGAGGGGATGGAAGAGAAATAGAGTGTTCCCACTGAAAAGTCAGGATAGGCAGAAATGACAGCAGCCCGGAGATTGGAAGCTGCAGGGTGGTTCCGTGAGCTCAGCCGCTGGTTAACCCAGCATACCCTCTGTTTTACGCCTGAGCCTAAACACAGCCCCTTTCTCCAAAAGCATTGAACAAGTCCAGGATATAGACAAGACGGAACGGCATTGTAGGGTGCCGATCCTGGTTTGTGCTTTCTGGTAAAGATGCAAGATTTTTTTTCTCTTTTCTGTCAGTTAAGTTTTGCTTTGTATCAAGTTCTCAACATCTACTGCCTTAAAGCAGCAGTCGTGATACTCGTGTGTGAGTGTGTGGTTTGGCCGAGTTTCCTCTGGTCTGGACCAACTCCGCTGAGAAGTGTCCGAGCTTGGGGGATCTGGGTGGTCTAGGGTACCCTCACTGGTGTGTTGTTATTGGCAGACGGTTTGTTTGGAGAAAGCCCCAGTAGGGTCTGTTTTCAATGGATCTACGTGGTTTCTCATCCTTTAGCAAACAAGCCTGTAAGTTCTCTCATAGTTCGGCCCCAGAGCATTTCAGGCCCCTATATGCAACCCCTCTGCTGTTTTAGCATTAGCCGAAACAGATCTCTTGGCTGAATCGGGAGTCAGTGTGGGAGCTTGTTACATTAGTCCGTGGATACAGAAAAAGTATGAATTGGAAACCATTACTGTCAGAAACGCTTCATGCAGCAAACCTGGGGTTAGCTCAGCACGTAATGATTGCCACTACCTGCCGCCCACCTGAAGACAGCTCTGAGCCACACTGTGGTGAACTCCTTAGGAAGAGACAGTGTCAAGGAAAGCTGTACAATCTATGCAGCCGTTCTAGCAGCCTCTTCTGGGAAATCCACCAAGGGACTGGAGGCAGAAAGTTAATGAAGGGCCAGATGGAGCCCAGAAGCCAGAGAAAGCCATTGCGTCCTGCGTGTGAACACAGGGCAACCAAAAGGCAGGTCGAGGCTGGGAGGGGCTGGAGCAAGAGGTGCCACCTGGGCCCAAGAATCAAGGACAGTTTCCCTTGGCCAGCACAGGCCCAGAGCGAGAGACCCAAGACCAGATTTGAAGCAGAGCTGAAGAGAAAACCAGATTCACCTATCCAACAGGAACCAAAACATGAGTCAAGAAACTCCATCCTGAACTGAATTGCCCTAGAGGAAGGAATCAGTCGCAGAGTAGGTGAGAGGTTATAATATCCGTGTTCTCTAGAATGTCTCCTTCACGCTAGGGATCGCACTTAGCCGTGATTTCGGTTCACACAATCCCCTAAGGCGGTGAATTTCCAGAGGAGAAACTGCCTCAGCAAGGTTGAGTAATTGGCAGCAGTCGCCAAGCTTGTCACGTGTCTAACCCCACAGCCCCGAGCCCTCTCTCTGCAGCAGGCTGGTGTCGGCATCATCAGGCAGTCAGGCCTATAGGACCCTTCTGACAGTAAAGCTTGGGAAGACCTTAGTGCCGCCTCCCCGGCAGAAGCTCCAGAAGACGGCCTCATGAGGAGAATTCTCCTCATAGAGGAGAATGCACAAAGTTGTCATCAGCCACAAAAGAAGATGGCGGAGGAGACCATGAAGAAAAGACACAGTTCACTTGAGAGTACAAAGATACCAAAATTTTCTCTAAGCCTTACTTCCCATTCCACAATCTTTAGTTGCCTCCCTTCCCTAAATTGAAAGGTTCCCCAAGGCTTGAGTGAGTCATTCCAGGAGAATGAAGGAAGCGGATTGCAAGTTGGAGGTTCGCCTGGACTACATGGTGATATTTTATTCAAAAACAAAAACAACCCCCCTCAGAATCATTTTATTAGGTTATTGATAGAATAAAGCCAATCAGGAAAGACTGGGTACTAAGGGGCTCTGAGACCTGTGGGAACAGAAGGAAGGCAGCTGTAGAAGTTCTGAACTACCAAGAGTGAGTTTGGCCTGTGCTTTCCGTAGACTTTGACTAGAGTCAGTATGTAATGTTGAAGGAGACTCTGCACCCACGAGAGAGAACAGGAGAGCCACGGACACCTCCCCTCACACCCTGCCACCACCACTTAGTAACTTCTCACTCACAAGCTTCAGTTTCCTGTCTGTGCCGCAGACATGCACACACCAACCTAGCAGTGTGTGAACGAGGTCACAGTTGGGGCACACGTGACACCAGCTTGCCCCGTGCTGGCTGAATCTAATCCTCTGGAAGTGGATGGCTGTGAGCAGATAGGAGTCCCTAGCTGAAGAATGGATGAAGGTTGACTGCTGCCCAGCAGGGAGGTTCCCACGGAGTGCTGGCGGTCCACCTGCTGTGAGACGGTCGGTGGAGTGCTTTCATTTGTCTCTTAGAAAAAGGTACCCCCTTGGTAAACAAAATTCGGACAGGTTCCTTCCTAAAGGTGGGGTGCAGGACTGCGGGGAGAGGACCGGGAGCCAGGACTGCAGGACTGTGTGTGGGGAGACATCTGGAGCAGAGGGTGCAGGACAGCATGCGGGGAGAGGATCAGGAGCAAGGGGTGCAGGACAGCACGTGGGGAGAGGATCCAGAGCAAGGGGTGCAGGACAGCATGTGGGGAGAGGATCCGGAGCAAGGGGTGCAGGACCGCGTGTGGGGAGAGGATCCGGAGCAAGGGCTGCAGGCTCTGGCTCCTGCCTCGCTCCCAACGGATCCTTTTCTTCATAAAGTAGCTTATTTAACAGCCCACATGCCACACTCCTCCCTCACCCGAGCGAGAAGCTGGCGGCTCGTCCGTGCGTCAGTACAGACTGGTACAGTCATGCCTTCTTCACATTACCAAGTGCACTTCTGCCTGCCTTTGTCTATCCAGGCTGTGTGGGGGATTGAGTTTGAAGTGGGTAAAGACTTGGGCTTGTAACAGCTGTTACAGTCTTATTGTTATAATCTTTTTTTTATTTGTTTGTTTTTTGTTTTTCAAGGCAGGGTTTCTCTGGGTAGCTCTGGCTGTCCTGGTACTCACTCTGTAAACCAAGGCTGGCCTTGAACTCACAGAGATCTGCCTGCTCTGACTCCTGAGTGCCGGGATTAAAGGTGTGCACCGCTGTCACCAGCACTTGACATATTTGTTATTATCTTAAGAACGTTCTCTAAGGAAAATATGTTTTCCAAGTTCCACATAAAACCCCAGGGAGAACCAGGAAATAAATCCAATATGGCGGTGAGATGGCTCAGCAGGCAAAGGCAAGCCTGGTGGCCCAAGTTCAGTTCTCCGGATCCATGTGGAAGGAAAGACCTGACCTCACAGAGGTGACCTTTGACCTGCACAGGTGCAGTATGGCACATGCACTATCCCCCCCACCACACACACAAATAATAAACAAAACTCTCATGTGAAGCTGATAGAATAAAATTACAGTACCCTTTTTTTCCATGTATGGAAAATTAAAAATCTTACTCAATACCAAGAAAGTAAAAGTTCTGTTGCATGGTTCTGATGTTTGAAGAAATTAGAGTGGGGGGAGGGGGAGCCTTATATGAGAGACTCGGTGGCCTGGAGTGGCCATTCCTCTGACTGATTGGTGGGGCTGTTTGTACAGAAGCAGTCAGCATCCCTGAGAGCAGTATCGTGGGACACATTGCAGTGGCTGATGTCCAAATTTTGATGCAATGTCAAGGTCTTCTTATGGTTCACCAGAAAGTTGAAGATTGAAAGGTTTGAGGCGATGACGGGGTGAGCTGGTCCTTGAGCAGGGTTTGCCGCCTGTGGCAGTGTGCATGCTCCATGAACGTTCTTTGCGCGTCTCTGGGCCGGCGTCTCTAAACATTCTCCTCGCCCATTGACGGCAGGCAGGAGAGGGGCATACTAATGGACTCTCGTTCTCACTTGGGCTTCTCTGGGACAGTGACTTCCAGAACAAGTGGTTGTTCTCCAGTTGGGATCCAGGCCTCCTTACCAGGGGACGGACTTCTCTTTCTCCTTGAACATTGTTCCTTGCTTTTGTTTTCTCCACAGGACAGGTTCCGGGTTGGAGGTGAAGCCATGAAGAGCAAGTAGAACAGACAATAATGCTTTACCGTAATCGCTTCTTGGTGCTGCTGGCCCTGGCTGGGCTGCTGGCCTTCCTGAGCCTCAGCCTGCAGTTCTGTGAGTACAGAGGGGCCTTGTGGGCTGCAGGAGGGTAGACGGCTTTGCTGGGAGACTAAGGGCCTGGGTTGTAGGCAGCAAGGAAACTCTGGGACTTTTTCATTGTCGGTAGTCATGGTGAATGGTTGGAAGCAAGAATCCTAACTGGCGTCTTTTCTTTCTTTGAGTCCAGCTCTCACTCTGTAGCCCAAACTAGCCTCAATTTAGTGATCCTCCTTCCTTAGCCTCCTAGGCCTGTGCCGCCACACTCACAGCCAGCCTCGCCGTCCTTTCTTTGAACTTCTACGTATGTTCCCAGACTGCTTGCTTATTCTTGTTGACATCCATCCCCAAGGTCCAGAGGGTTCATCTTGATTTCTCATGCTGGGCAGAGGCATTTGACCTTCGGTTCCTTGAAGACCTAAGTGGCCGTTTTACATTCAGTCATTGATGGGGCTGGGGTAACTCAGGATAGGGTGGGGAAACTAGGTTGCTGGTATGAAACTTGGCCCCTGGGCGGCAGAGGCTCCTCACTGGAGGTCCCAGGTAGCAAGGTAAGGACTCTCTGGTGAAGTTCATCTGTGAGCTTCCCCGGTTCATCGTCTTCCACTGAATCTTTATGCTCACACTGTACCCCAAATCTTTGCTCCCCACACTTGCCATGAGAAGGGCTATCCTGGAACTCAAATCTTGCCTACTGTCCCCTGTGTCCCCTCTCTGCTTGGCTTTCTCCAAGGAACCAGTCTTTCCTTGAGCTCACCCCTGCGACCCTGCATGGACCAGCTCATCCCCCATCTCCTTCCATCCTTTTAGCCCTTGCTTTCTTTCCTCTAGATACCCATCCGTTGTTGCAAGGATTCAATACTTTTGTGATGTACATCAGGATTCCATGAGCCAGCTCCCTTTCCCTAGTCACGAAGCCTCACTGTGCCCTTCCCCTGAATCCTTCCCCGGAACATTCGTCTCTTGAATGAATGAGTCTGTGCCTACTCTGGAAACATCTCCTCTTCCTTTGGGTTCCGTGTTCTGGAAACTGAGGAGGCGCTGGTACAATGCTGAGAACTGTGTTTGCTGTCACCTGGCTTCTGTGTTTTCCCACCTCACCCTGATGGGTGGGAGCTCTGTGGGGAGGTGGCATTTCTGTTTCACTTTGAGTGACAGAAATAGGAACAGGTGGCTCAGTGAGTGGGATGTGGGGAGTGCAGAGGAATGTGGGAGACTTGGCATCAGGAGTGGGTGGTTTGAAGAAAGAAAGCTTTGAGGCTTGCCTGATTTACCACAGGGTGGTATAGGCTCACCCCTGTGCACATGACAGGCCGCTCTAACAGTGAAGAGGCCCAAAAATACTTATTTCATCCTTCCAATATTGGAAGTGGTCAAGAGAAGGTGACCAGAGACGTGCAGAAGTACTCCAGATGGCTAATGACCTGCAAAAATAGAAACCTTCCAATAAGTGGGATCTGGCTTTCAGTGGTTTCATTGTTTGTAGTTTTTCATTGGAAAATTTCCACCATTCGGTGGAGGAGGAGGGAGCTGCAGTCAGCCTGGAGTTCTAGCCTGAGCCCTGGGCAGGCTCTGAGAGGTAAATGTGGCTCCCTTGTGTTCCTCAGGCGTCTCTCGCATGAGCTGGCCTGGGTGGCACTGAATGGCCCTGTGTGTCTTGCCTGTACCACACTTGTGAATGTTCGTCTGTTAGGAGGGCCGCTTTTCAGCCACACTTTTTTTAAGGAAAATTTTGCAGACTAAATTGGCCTGGCTGGACCCGAGCTCTTCACTCTGGAGTACCTTGCAGTGCCGAAAGCCTGAGAGATGGACGTCCGCGCTGCCCTCCTCCTCCTAGGTAATCTGCAGCTTTGGAACCTGCCTGTCTGCAGAGAAATGACACTTGTTTGCTTCATTTATTTGATTGCTTTATTAATTGCTTATTAGAATAGTGTAAGAAACTTTGAGTCACAAAGCAAAAATGGACTCATGCTTTGTTCTTACCCTAAAATATACATGCTTTTCTTTACTGTTCCTTTTGACAAATTTTTTGAATACCATGCTGGCAATGTTATTGTTTGAAACAATATAGTTTGTGTGTGTGTGTGTGTGTTCTTTATGTAAAAAGTATGGTTTCATTTTCTGAAACTACTGTGTATCTTGTTATATCTTGCTGGTAGATCAATATTCCTGTTGATATTTTGGATATGGAAACATTTTGACACGGGTCAGGAGTGAGACATGGGATTGTTTAAACAAGCATGTCTCCCCATAGGCAGAGGACGTGAGGAGTCAAGTCGCTTGTGTCTGTGAAGTGCTTGCTGTACTCGGTGTTGTGGAGACAGAGTGAGAGGGGAAGGACCTGGACAGCATAGAGTACCGTTCATAGCTTCTCAACACATCCATCTGTGATAACACGAATGGCTTGTGTGCGCTGAAGGTCCTTAGTGAAATTATTTCATATATATATATATGTGTATGTATATATATATATATACATACATATACATATTTCAGTTCCTTAGTTTTGAAATGTGTACAGTAGGAAAATAACTTCTCGAATTCAAGGATTCTCTGTTATAATATGGAAAGACTGTTCGGATCTGAAGACATCTGAGGCGTTTCTGCTTTTTCTGCCCATTTATAATCCCCCGTTTCCCCTCTGCAGCATTTCTCCAGTCTGTGTTTTGTGCTCACTCTCCATCTTCTCCTTCCCCAAATGGCGGTGTGACAGGCACACACGGACTCTGAAGCTGTGGCCTTAGTCCGAATGGCAGCTTCCTTAGTAAGCAGCTGGCTCCTCTGCACCTCCCTTCATCAGAGAATTAATCATCATAATTCTGCAAGGTTGGCATGAGAATAGATACTTGTGGAAACTTCCTGACTGGTGCAAGCCTCTTCGTTACCAACCACTCCTTTGCAGAGTTGGTACAAGCGTGTAGATTTTGGGAAAGCCCTGGCTCATGGCAGCTGCTGTTTCTTCTGTAAAATGGAGCTGATTGTTATGGTTTTGCAAGATTGATTGAGAGCTGAGAGCTTTTGGGAAAACCCTTGGCCCACAGAAGTCTGACTGACCGTAAGTCTGTACGCAAACCAGAGCCCTGCCAGAGTGCACTCTCATGGTATACTAGCATCCCAGAAGGCGGGCAGAGCTTATGACTTCAGCTATTTAGTGAAAGAAAGCTTGGGATTTAACATCCATTTATTTGCTTTTACTCAGAGTCCGTTGGCTGACAGTGAATCTATGTGGTGTTTGTGGCACTCGTATGGGGGGGGGCATCCTCTTGGGCAGAGCCTCAGTTGGCCGCAACAGAGTTCATCTGCAGTAGTGTAGTTAAAGCTAGTGTTGTCTTCAGGGTCTGACGCGTCCTTCCTGCAGGAGACGTTGGCCTGTTCTGTGTGACCTGATGGACACAGAGACGCATTTGCATTGGGCAGGAAGTGGAGCTGCTGAAGATTCAGGGTTATGTCAAGGTGTGTGTTCTCCCCCCAGGAGTTGGCACACTCTGGAAGGTCACTCTCTAAAGAAGACAGAGTCAGGCAAGTCACTGGGCCCAATCACATTTTATATCTTCAAACGCTAAAGTTTTATTAATTTTATCTTTCCTTGTTGATCCAGTTCTGGGAGTATGTGCAGTTTTGTTCTTTAGCTAATACTCCTGCTTTGTCACTGGCCTGGGAGTTGAGTCCTTCGGGAGCCACAGGCCCCTCTAACCAGTGGAGGAGTCTCAGGAGCAAAGACTCAGAATGCTGGGCAGGCAAGGGGTGGGGCATGGTGGAGTGGGTGGAGCATGGACGCTGGAGCCTGACTGCAGACCAAACCCGGCCTGCCACTGACCAGCTTTCCACACTCAGAAAAGCTGCGTGCCATCTCCGTGCCTCAGTTTCCCCTCAGTGAAGTGGAGAACGTGATAGAGTTCGTGAGGACTCTGCAGCACATAGTACAGTGCTTGGCAATGGTACTCCTGACGTGTGTCAAATGAATTAAGATCATTTATGTATGGCAGAGTGGTATGGCGGGTTAGAAGAAAGGAACCCTGTCCAGTCAGGGGACATCTGAGGTCATGCTTGAGGGAGACTAGGAGTTGTCTGGAGAGGACACTAGAGAAGAGTGCAGAGGCAGAGCAGAAGGGAGCCCCAGCGGCAGAGATGCCACCATGCAATTAGCATATTGGAGAGGGCAGAGCCCACTTCTGTTTTCTCCAGAATGTTGACATCCAAGTGCAAGGGTCAGCATTGCCTTGGGATCATGTTTAAAATGCACATTCCCAAAAAAGCAAACAGAAATGTCTGCGGCCCTCCCTACAGAATCTGACTCTCGGTGGGAGCAGAGCCCAGGGTCTGTGTTGAAAGCCAGCACCCGGGTGTGTCTGACGTATAGTGTGAGCTGGTGGGAGGGTGACACTGGGTGATGCAACTCAGAGGCTGTTTCACTCATGCAGTCAAAGACTGGGGGTGGCTCAGAGGCGGGCGTTAGCCCTGAAAGGAAGACGCAAAACCCGGAGTGTCACCATGTGCGTGAGACTTTATGACTACTTGGGAGGTGGAATGGGGCAGTGACCCTACCTTGAAACCCAGAGTCTGCTGGGGTAGTCACTAGATACTTCGTCCATCCACATGTTCATTCAGAGGTCTCCTGCAGGACTCCGTTAGAGAGGAAGATACCAGCTGAGGGAAACGAAATATCCAGACAGAGGGGAGGCAGGAGGATTGCTCAGAACAAGAAGTGTGCAGAGCTCAGGAAAGGGAAGTGGGGTGAGCGTGGTGCACAGGGTGCCTAGAAGCGCATGAGGGCTGCATGGTTGCAGTGCCCAGCCCAAAGTGGATCTTGGTCACAGGCCTAGGAAAGACCAAGTCTGCAGCCGCTGTTGGTGGCTTTGTGTTCACCGTCATGCAGTCTGGGCTGGGAGGAACCTGATCGTGTAGAGGCTGTGAACTTGTTTGCTTTGGCCCAGCCAATGTTTCCAGGTTTTAAAAATTATTTACCAGTTTCACATAAACTTTCAGCTCTTGTTTGAAAAGCCATTTTCCCTGGCATC